GCCGCCAGGCCTTGGAACGTGGCCCCCCGCGCTGCACCCCGGACTTGGCGCACAGACTGGCTGCGTGAGGCTTTCCGCGGGCGCGAGCTTTGCGTCCTCGCCGTTGCACACACGCCTGTCAGCCGGGGCTCTGCAGCCCTGCACACGAGGTGCCCTCTCACGCCACACTGCATCACTAACGGAACACTGCTACTCCGAGTCTCCCGCTCCCTCCGTTGGCAACAACAGCTGCAGCCGAACGGGCCACACACTTACAGAAGCCCCGTTTGCCCGTCAGGAGCCTTCCAGCCAGACCAGGCTGTCGGCCGAGGAAGACGAGGAGTTCTTGGAAGGGGGGGCCCGGAGAAGGGCTGTCTGCAAATGCAGTTCAGTGCTGCTGCCTCTGAAACAGAGTTGGGAGGGAAAACCCCAATTAGATAGCACAGCACTTTGGTTTCGCTAAGATTTTCAGACACACACAGTAGATTAGGGTGCATTTGAAGGAAGTCACTCTTATCAAATAGCAATGCACAGGGGAAAACAGAGTTAGTCCCTCCACGCTGGGTGGAACACAGGGGCGTTGTTGGGAGAGGAGCAGGCTGGGAGGGAAGGGAGCGGGAGGCCGCTGGTGGCGGATTCGGGCAGCACTGTCGTGGTACCGGCAATAAGGCGGCAGCTCGGAAGCTGCAGGGAAGTCGGTCTGCTCTGGATGATGTTTCCAGCAGACTCAGCTGCTATACTTACCACATTTTACTAAACACAGGGAAAGCATTTAGGAGAAGAGCAGAGAGCCAAATCTGACCTAGAAGTTTGAAAGCCAAAGGTCGAACAGGCTGTGATTCCATCATCACCGAGGTTATTAAGGAATTCTCATATACACAAGGTGGGTCAGACACCCCGGCCCCCGGGCCCCTTCCCCGCCCCCCTCCCCATTGAGCCTTACTGACACTTTGGTTTACGGCGGTGCTGTCCCGGCTGTGAGGGCCGAGGGGTAGGTACTGAGCGAGGCCAGGGCTCTGCATCCAGGCGAGGAGCACCTGGCAAACCTCTTAGAGTCCTGAGGACCGAAATAAATTATGATGTCGATGGGGAGAAGGAAGGTAGGATGTATTTATAATAGGTATATAGAACACAAGGGATATAAAGTGAAAGATTTTTTACTAATATATATTTTAAGATTGCACACAGTCCACACCAGAAGATGTGAAATTCATTTGTGGCAATTAAGTGGTCCCAACGCTCAGTGCTTAAAAAAAAAAAAATTGGACAGCTACTTCTGGGGAAAACGTCACTCCAGAAATAACAATTATGGGAGCAAATACAAAAATAACCAAGTCCTCTGAAGGCATCTCACGTAACTGTAGATTAGGAAATGCAAGCCCCAAATACCAGGAAATCGGTGTTCCTGCATCATGTATTCGACAGTGACGTGTGCCGGCATTTCTTTTCTGTGCTGTGTTTTCCCCTTGCCTTATGGGCTGAAGTGTTCGCTAGAATCCACCGGGTCACATCGAGGGGGTTTCAGCTGAAAGTTCAGCTCGAGCCCCTTCCTTCCTCCCTCCCCCGTCCCTCGCCCCCTCCCTTCTGGGAAACGAACCCAGTAAACAGGAAACCTACTTTTTATGTGCTATGCAAAATAGACATCTTTAACATAGTCCTGTTACTATGGTAACACTTTACTTTCTGAATTGGGAGAGAAAAAAAATGTAGCAACAGCATTTTAAGGTTCTCAAAACCTCCAGTGAATACCTGCAAAAATGAATTGTCGTGGAAATTATTCTTCTCTATTTCCTGAACCTGAAAATGATGTTGGTCTAAAGTGCGTGTGTGTATGTATGAGTGGGTGTGTGGTATACATGTGTACATATATGTATAATATATATCTACAATATATATTATATATATCTATATCATATTTCTGTGGAAGGTTGCCATGGTGACCAGCCACAGTACATATGTAATTCTTTCCATCACCCTAACCTCTCCTGTACGTGCGTTCATACAAGATTTTCTTGTAAGCCATCAAAAATTACCTTTAGGATGGGGGAGAGAGGCAAGAAGGGGGAAAATGGGAAATAGTTTGATTTTAATGAAATCAAAGGTGTGTCTCATCAGTTGGCTACATTTTGGTTATATGCTAAACTGTGAAAAATCAGATGAATTGACGAAGCGTTGCTGCAAGCAGTTGAAAAGTGTTCTGTGCGTCTGTATTGTGTCTGGTGCAGGATATGACAATCTACCAACTGTCCCTTTCTTTGAAGTTGGTTCCGCTTTGGAAAGTTACTGTAAATGCCTTCCTTGTATTCTCATCCCTAGTTGCCCGATTTTGGAATTTGCACCATAATGTTTAAAGTGAAGATGCTGTAAATAGGTTCAGATTTTACTGTATATGGATTTGGGGTGTTACAGTAGCCTTATTCACTTTTTAATAAAAATACACATGAAAACAAGACAGAAATGGCTTTTCTTACCCAGATTGTGTACATAGAGCAATGTTGGTTTTTTATAAAGTCTAAGCAAGATGTTTTGTATAAAATCTGAATTTTGCAATGTATTTAGCTACAGCTTGTTAAACGGCAGTGTCATTCCCCTTTGCACTGTATCGAGGAAAAAAAATGGTATAAAAGGTTGCCAAATTGCTGCATATTTGTGCCGTAATTATGTACCATGAATATTTATTTAAAATTTCGTTGTCCAATTTGTAAGTAACACAGTATTATGCTTGAGTTATAAATATTTTTCCTTTCCTTTGTTTTATTTTAATAGGCTGTCCTAGGTTTTTGATCTGCTTTAGTTCCACATTGCAGTTAGCCTCCAGAAAATGAAATCCGTGAGGTCACATTCCACGTCTGTTTCAAACTGAATTTGTTCTTAAAAAAATAAAATATTTTTTTCCTATGGAAAAAGCGCCTTCAAAGTATTTGCCTTTCCTTTTTTCCTTTCCTTTTTCTTTCTTTTTTGTTTGTTATTTTAATTTGCCTGCTCCTGCTGTTTCTCTGTGATTACACTTATCCAGAGCCTCTGCCCACGGGCATGTGTGTGCCCGTTTTTCAAATCAGACCGTGCATGCACACAATGTGAATATTAGTCTTGCAAAGAGTGATGAGTCCATTGGTTTGCTCACAAAACTACTGAACTCACATTTCACAAATTATATTGTATCATAAACTTTTATAAACTCATCATCCCGAACAGAAAATGTCTACAGTTAGACCAGCTCAGTCTGAAAGTGGTGACAGGAAGAAAAGGAGGGACTCCTGCTTTTATCTCCACCCTCAGTTCCAGGTTAATCGAATTTCCATTCAAGCAAACCAGTTTGCTATTGACAGCTTCATTTTTCTTCACAAAATAATCCCAGAAGGAAGGAAAAAGTCATGTGTTCTTTGTAACAATTTGACATGGATGAAAGCGTGTGTTGTGGTGGTGGACAGAGGCAAGCCACAGGCCAGTGGGGAGTGCAGCCACACTCGCACTGCTGGCCTTCCTGGGGATAGTGACCCAGTGCTCCGAGTGTTTGCCCTGCTCTCCTGGACTCTGTGTCTTGAGACTGATCGTCAGATTCCCACCCTCATCATCCTTTGAGATCTGAGGGCAGAGCTGTGGTCAAGGCAGAAGCAGCGACTGGTTACCAAGAAGTGCTCAGATCTCTATCTGCATTAACTGTGGTTAATCCTTACCTTAAGGAGTGACGCATTTTAGGTTGGGAGGTTGAGAAAGGGCCCCTGAAGTAAGGAGCCAGATTCTCCAGCCCAGACTGATTTGCCCAAGATCACAGCCCCAGTCAGTCAAGAATCTATGTGTTTAAAAGCCCCTCGGGAGATTCTCATCAAAGGCTGGTTTTGGAAGCAGGTCTCTCTGCAGCATCCTCCTGGCAGACTTGAACTAAAGGAGTGTTTGTCAAATAAATGCTCTCCTTCCAAAAAACAAAACCAAAAAACATTCTCCAGAGGCCCACAGTGTCATTTGGTGCCAGAATAGTAGTTTCATCTTCTCCATCACTTTGTTTCACTCTGCCTCTAGGTCCCTCCACTGCAAACTCAAGTTTGGGGCCATAATTCACAGCCACAGCACTGAGCTGCTTGCTCGACCCCACACACCGAGGATCATGAATGATTAGTCTGAGTAAAACAATGATGAAACATTGCATTTTCAACTTTGACTTGGTGACCTCTGTTACAATTTAAATGATCAAATACACAGCATCATTTTTCCCTACCTTGTTTTTGAAACCACATTTTCCAAACTGAGTAAATCCAGCCTTAACTAAGAAAAATAAAATGTGCCCAGTGGTTATTCTTTTCAACCAGCAAGAAGGAATCGCACAGCACAGAAACCTCTTGCGAGCTTGTAGGTGCAGATGCTCCTTGCTCCACCTGAAAGGCAAACCCGTTGTTGTGACAACCCTGCGTTGCAAGGCTAAGTGTGGCCTGGCCAGCTGGCGACTCTTCGGAACGGCTCTCACTATTCAGTTTCCTCTAACGTAAACCGGTTGCCCATTCAAATACTGTGATAAACGTTCACAATAGAAATAAGAAAAAAGATCAATAAAATACCACTTGCAGGACTCTGCAGCTGGCTGTCAGTCTCTGGACCCAACCCAGAGAAGCATCAGCAAAAGAAGAAAAGAAAAAATCCCAGAGGAGTAAAACTGACTTCCTAATGTACGCAGAAAAGGACACTCACCCTACTTCTTGGCTGGGTAGAAAACAGGGCTTCAGATGGGTCAAAAGGAGACGTAACTGTCACTAGTACAAAGGACCTGGCTTTCTTTTGTTTTTATTTTCAGTGACTTTGGGATTATGTTGCGGTATTTACACCACAGGCATCCTTGAAGGCAAATCTGCTGCGTTGTGATAGGGGAGAGCAGTTCCTCCCCCTCATTTTTCCAGGTAGAGAATCATT